GCTGTAAATAAACGTCCCTCATTTAAATGTGTGCCCGCTTTGCAAAAACCTTCATAAATCCAATTTTGGTTATACAAATCGCTGCTGTTTGTAAATATAGGTTTTACGTTTCGGAGCTATAATCTCGTAATCTTTTTTTATGGGGCTGAATTATATCGCAGGAAATTGCTTCAGCAGTACGGATTCGCGAGTTTCCATCAAACACGCAGCCAGAAGTTGCACAAATCTTCGTGCAGGAGAGGCTGTCCAGCTTGTTTGTATAAATTACTTTGAGGAACTCATTTTTGCCATGGCTGATATTTTGCTGAGGCTGCCTTAAAAGACGGGTGTTTTTCCCCCCCCCCCATCGGTTTCCCTAAACCTGAAGGCAAGTTGCCGTCCAATTTGAATAAGTGGCCTGATTAACCCACAAAACAAAGTCAGGACGTGTTTGTGCCTTTCCTGGCACAACAAACCGTGATTCACATATAACGCTCAGCCATTATTTGTTAATCAGGCAATTTAGTGGCGGGGCACAGCTCCAGTACATCCCCACACAGTAGTGATTTTGCTGGCATGAATGGATTCTAGCTTATTGCTTTCTCCAGTTAGGTCTGCTCTGACTTGGTAATGCCTTTTTTTTTTCCCCCTTATTTTTCCTATTTTTTTTTAGCCAAGAATTGAAATGGGAATAGAACTAGCTTTAATTTCAGATAGTAAATCACTACAGGTCGTGCTCGACGTACAAGCGTTCCTTTAGTGATTATTCAGAGGTAACAACGGCGTTGAAAAAAAGCACTAATAAAGGAGAATATTGGTAGCTCAGGGGTGACATGAGGGGGTCCTTGGTGCTCTCTGAGCTTGCTTGTTGTGTGACCTTTGACACAACCGTCGCAGTATCAACATTCGGCCGCTTGGCAACTGACTCGTATTTATGACGGTTGCACTGTCCCGGTTGCCACACGATCCCCTTCTGGCCAGCAAAGTCAATGGGGGAAGCCAGCTTCACTTAACCACCGGGTTACTCGTTTAACAACCGCAGGGATTCGTTTAACGACTGTGGCAAGAAAGATTGTAAAAAGGGGCAAAACGTTCTCAGCCATTGCCTCTCTTAGTAACGGAAATGTGGGGCTCAATCGTCGTAAGTCGAGGACTGATTGTATTGGGAAGCCTAGCTGTTTTACTCCGTGCATCTCTACCTTAAAGTGGTTTATCCACAGGCACAAAATGTTTGCTTGTGCTTACCTGGGTTTGTTTCTGTGCCTTGCTGAAACCTCGTCTAGCCAGTCCACTGAAAATGCGTAAAGCAACGGCAGCTGAATAAGAAGGAAATAAATAAACCTTGGACTTACCAAGGTTTGTTTAGCAAGCTCTAGGACAGGGGTAGGCAACCTTGGCTCTTTTATGACTCGAGGACTTCAATTCCCAGAATTCCTGAGCCGGCATGGGGGAAACTTTGCCCCCCTCATGACTCGTGGACTTCAACTCCCAGAATTCCTCAGCCAGCCACGCTGAGGGGAAAGGGAGAGGTGAGCTGAGCCAAGCTGGCTCAGGAATTCTGGGAGTTGAAGTCCACGAGTCATAAAGCGGCCTAGGCCTAGGCCAGGAGTAGGCAACCTTGGCTCTTTTATGACTGGTGGACTTCAACTCCCAGAATTCCTGAGCCAGCCATGCTGAGGGGAAAGGGAGAGGTTTCCGAGCTGAGCCAAGCTGGCTCAGGAATTCTGGGAGTTGAAGTCCACGAGTCATAAAGCGGCCTAGGCCTAGGTCAGGGGTAGGCAACCTTGGCTCTTTTATGACTGGTGGACTTCAACTCCCAGAATTCCTGAGCCAGCCACGCTGAGGGGAAAGGGAGAGGTTTCCAAGCTGAGCCATGCTGGCTTAGGAATTCTGGGAGTTGAAGTCCACAAGTCATAAAAGAGCCAATGTTGCCTACCTGTGGCCTAGGTAAACAGTGCTTTTACACGAGGTAAACTCATCCCCTTTATTTCCATCCTGACTGAAAGCACAATATTTCGAACCCAGAGTCCTCTTTTTAGACTGGAGATTGCCTTGCTGACATAAGCCAGCTCCCAGAAACCATAGTTTATTCAAACCAGGAAGGGAACAAATCAGCAACATGCCAGGCAAACGCTTGGTAAACATTCAGCCTGGTTCTTCAAACCAAGCTGGCATCGTAGTGGTCCACCCCTCTTTTTGTTCTTCTTTGTGAGTCTTTGTGTTCTTGCCTCCGTGGATTAAATAAAATTGATGCACATAGGTCCTTTCCAAACGGCGCATCCTTCAGTGGGTATATTTCGACAGAGTACAAATAAAAATAAACCAAATATGATTAGGTGCCTCCTGGGAGCACCCCTGATGGATGCTGTGTGTTTACGGTAGAGAGCTGGAAGGGAATCAAAAATTGTGTGTGGGCCCGCTTAAAGACGAGCAAGCTGGTTGTCGGCAGCCGTGGTGTGTTGGCATTAATTAACTCAGCTTGGCTGTGTGGGTGTCGCCCAAATTTTCGCAGAGATTTTTTCCGAGCAAAGCTGTAATTTCACGATAGAACACACATGAGGTCACAGATTCAACCTCTTGGATCTTCAAATAAGACTAAGAGAAATCTGTTTAATTGGCTTCTTCCCCCCCCCCCTCTGGCAGCATGTCTGGGGTGAAAGATCAAAGGTAGGGCAGATCCTGAATCCAGGATCTGGGTGTTGGCCACACAAGCAGGAACCCAGGTTAAAACTGTAATTGTAAGTCGAGAACTAACGGTGGCCAGCCTGAGCTCACATTCTGCATGTTTTATTCAGTTTTTATAGCTGCCCGACCCGACCAAATGACTCTTAGGCAGCTTACAGTTCTAAAATTGTAAAACGATTAAAACAATTTAGAAAGGGTTAAAACATTTAAAAAAAAAATCCACAAAATAAGACACGTTGAATCCAGGTGCATCGCATTGTACCTCAAGATCTTAGGCAAGCTCAGCAGTTTGTAGACTTTTGGGGTGATATGACAAAAAGTTGTTGAAATATGAATAGTAAGAAGGAGGGGGGAAAAACATTTGTTGGAATATATTCAGAATTATCTGATGTGCTCCTTGTCTAATTTTATCTGTAAACTCTTTGAGGCAGGGATATTCTGCCCCCCTTCCTTCCTTCCTTCCTTCCTTCCTTCCTTCCTTCCTTCCTTCCTTCCTTCCTTCCTTCCTCCCTCCCTCCC